CCGTTGATCGAGCCTAATTTTTGTCGCGTTCGTGGTCGCGAGATAAGCGCGAGCGAAGCAAAATTATTAACGCTTAACGTCACGACCGGTCTGAAGTCGTTCCACCATCGAGAAACGGAAGGAAGCTATTCGAACTTCGGCTTCGCGACGCATTTCACTTTCGCGCGTTTTGGAACGGTGCCAACCTCCACGGTTCGAAAGTGCTTTGCTCTTATTTAACGACTTTTTTTCTCGCCTCGAAATTCTTCGAAGTTCGAACTCGTTTCTCTGCCGATCGTTATCGCGTAATTAACGCGCGGAGAAAGAACGTTCGAAACAATCGGCAACAAAGAGAGAACTCTAGGAGACCGTTTGCTCCTCGTGCGAGGGGAAATGAAAATATGTCACGATCACGAACGAATATGTTTAAACGTGATGTTTCGACTATAGATATAGACAGATATATTTATACGCATAGAGGCGGCCGGTTTATTACGGGTAGCAAGAACGTCAAATAAATCACTCGTCCCGGCCACGATAAGACAATTGCGAGTGTACCAACCCACCGATTCTGTTCGCGATAATAAGTGTAAGAAGAAAAAAAAAAAAAAGAATAGAAGAAAAAACGCGGTTGTAAAATATAGGTTTTCCACGGTTTAATCAATCCTTATTATTGGCGATTCGCACGCTGATATTCAACAGGTGCGAAAGGTATGATCCGACGATTAAGGTGCCCACCGGTGTCCCGGCCGATCGTCATTCATATCGATTAGCCTGGTGGGCGCGAATCCATTCGCAGAATTTACGACAATGCATTATCAATGACGATCATGGTCGGCATATGGCCTCCCATGTTCAATGGTAGCGAGTCGCCGGTGGTAGACAGCCTGGCAGCCAGGCGATCCCTTTCTCGGAACGATCAACCTGCCATTCGTATGGGAATCACACCTACCCATCCCTTCCCCTTTCCATCCACTTTGCTTTCTGCATTTTTCTCCTCCCTCTCTCTTCGTTATTGCAATTCTCTCTCTCTATATATATATCGTAATACCTCGCATCCTTAAGAATACCAATAAAAAAGAGACGTAACGTCATTTCCCCCTCTCTCTC